GGAGGGCTCTTCGAATGATGGACCAAGCTCACGTAGGCCATCGCGGAGGCCCACAGAGGCGTCGTCGGGGTCGGCATCGTCGTCATCGATGGCGGGCCGCGCAGATCGAAAATGCTACGCGGCCGACTTCCTGCCACTCGGGGAAATCCAGGAGGAGGGCGTCCAGCGGGGGGTCCACAAATCATGCCGGGAGACATTTGCGCGGACGGGAAGACGGGAGCGCACTGGCAGAAGAAAAAGAAGAAGAACATGGCCGGCGTGCGAGGAGGGAGGAAGGAGGAACGCTCAGACGCCGAAGAGTTCGACGAGGAGGGGGGGAGGCCGACGAGAGGAAGGAGGGACGCTCCGACGCCGAAGCAGTCGACGAGGAGCAGCCGGCGGGCGGCAGCGGCCAGGCGCGCCGGGACAGAGCGCGGGGGGCGGCCGTGGCGAACCAAGGGGGCCGACGAAGGGTTCTGCCTCCGGGCGGCGCCCGGCGGGCCCCGGGGGCCCTCGCGGGGCGAGGTGCGGCCTCCTCGGGGAGAGGATGCGCAGGGCCCTGCCGCTGCTGCAGCAGGAGGGCCGCGGGAGGCATATTGCACCACCACCAGCCTCCTCCTCCTCCTCCTCCTCCTCCTCCTCCTCCTCCTCCTCCTCCTCCTCCTCCTCCTCCTCCTCGGCACCTCCTCGCCCCGCCTCCCGTGGAGACGCGGGGGGATGCGGGGGGGCGGAGGCCAAGGCCCCGTGAGCTCCCCCGCCCCCCCCGCCCCCCGCCCGAGCGCCCGAGCGCCCGAGCGCCCGAGCACCCGCCGAGAGAGCTCGCGTCGGCCGCGCGCCTTCGGCGTCCCGGTACATGGTGTGGGTGCCGTCCTCCCCGAGGCGGCGGTCGGGGACGCCGGGGCTGGTGCCGTCCATGGGGCCGACGCCCTGGCGCGTGTCCGATGCTCAACCGCTTCCCTCGGCCTCCCCATCCCCATCATCCCCATCATCAGCATCGTCATCATCATCATCATCATCATCATCATCATCATCATCATCATCAGCAGCAGCAGCAGCAGCATCAGCAGCAGCATCATCACCATCATCATCATCATCATCATCAACAGCAGCAGCAGCATCAGCAGCAGCAGCATCATCACCATCATCATCAGCAGCATCATCCTCAGCATCAGCATCTTTATGATCAGCATCATTATTATCGTCATCCGCATAATCATCTCATCATCAGCATCATCATCGCCATCAACATCAGCATAATCATCATTACCGTTATCATCACCATCCCCATCAACATCATTATCACTATCACCATCTTCATCATTATCTCATCACCATCACCATCACATTCATCATCAGCATACGCCATCGTCATGATCATAATCAAAATCGTCGTCATCCTCATCCTCATCCTCATCCTCATCCTCATAAACATTATGATTTCCATCACCATAATCCTCATCATACTCATCATAATCACCACCATCCCCACCACCATCCTCATCCTCATCATCACCACCATCACCACCAATATCATCACCATCACCTTGACAATCATCATCAACACCATCATCATCAGCAGCAGGATCAGCATCATCATCACCACCATCACCACCATCGTCATCATCATAATCAGCATCATCACCACCACCATCATCACCATTGTCATTGCCGTCTCCATCACAATCATCATCATCATCAGCAGCAGCATCAGCGTCAGCATCAACATCCGCATCATCAAAACCACCATCAAAAACATCACCATCGTCAGCATCATCATCCGCAGCATCAGCAGAAGCATCAGCATCACCATCGCCATGAACATCATGGGCAACAGCATCGTCATCATCATGATCATCACCATCATCATCATCATCAACATCATCACCATCATCGACAATTACATCATACACATATCCATCATCATCAGCATCTGCATCATCAACGTCGTCATCCCGACCGTCATCCTCATCCTGATCATCATGATAACCAAGCCAGCATCATCAGCATCAGCATCAGCAGCATCATCATCATCCACATCGTCGTCAGCACCATCATCATTAGCAGCGGCATGATCATCCACGTCCTCATCCTCCTCATCCTCATCAGTATCATCATCGTCATCCTCATCATCAGCAGCAGAAACCGCAGCTTCATCATCACCATCATCAACAAAATAAGATCCTGCGTCACAATCATCACCGGCATCCTCACAACCACCACCATCGTCATTAGCATCAGCATCAACGTCAGCATCATCATCATAATCAGCATCACCAACATCGTCATCATCATCATCATCGTCATCATCATACCATCATCGTCCTCATCATCGTCATCAGCATCATCGGCATCACCATCACAACCATCATCACCGTCACCATCATCATCACCATCGTGAACATGTGCATCAACATTGACAGCATCAGTATCATCATCAGCAGCATCAACATCATCATCAGCATCATCAACATCAGCAGCATCAACATCAACATCATCCTCATCATCGTCATCATCAGCAGCAGCCTCCTCATTATCAGCAGCATCATCAGTAGCAGCGGCAGCACCGACATCACCATCAGCATCAACGTAATCGTCATCAGCATCGCCAGTAGCATTATCAACAACTGAACCATCATCACCAGCATCAGCATCAACATCATCACCATCATCATCATCATCCTGCACGTCATCCTCGTGATCATCATCATCATCAACATCAGCATCAGCATCATCATCGGCTCCTCTCCTCTCTCCTCGCTGTCATCCAGCACCTCCCTCCTACTCCCCACCACTCTTCTTCCGACGCCTCCTCCTCATTATCCTTCTCCTCCTCCTCCTCTCCATCATCATCATCGCCACCATCATCATCCTCATCCTCATCATCATCATCATCATCATCCTCATCATCATCATCATCATCATCATCATCACCATCATCGTCAGCATCATCATCGTCGGCATCATCATCGTCGTCATCATCATCAGCATCCTCTTCCTTCCTTCTCCCGACTGACTCATCTCTCCGTCGGGCTGTGCCCGTCCTGCTGTCTGGACTCGAGGGCACGGCCCTGCAATCCTCGGTGGTTGCTGCCGCCCGTGGTGCAGCATCCACACCTGGGGGCCCCCTGCACGACGCCGACGTGCAGCGGGCGGACGCAGCTGCGCACCTCGGCGTCGTGAGGCGGGCGTGGCACCCTCGCGCCGAGCAGCCGCTCACGGCGGCGGAGCACGCCCTCCGCCTCCGCGCGGCGGCGGGGGCGCTCGCATCGCGGCGCCGAGGCGCACCTGCACACGGTGCTCTTCGGCGACCTTGAGTCCCTCCTGCAGGACAAGAGCGCTGGCAGCTCCACCTTTCGGGAGCGGCCAAGAGGGGGGTGTCCAAGAGGGGGGGGTGCAAATCATGACCGGCGGCCTGTGCGCCGCCCAGCGGGGGGGCCTGGGATGTAATGAAATAAGAGGAGGCGCCGTGACATCTGAGGAAAAATCATGGCCCGCGCTATGAAATCCACCCCCCCCTAGTCATCACCCCCCTCTTTTCCGCTCCGGAACCTTGGGGGACGAGACGGGCAGCACGGCTGTGCCGGAGCAGCGCGGTGGCGGCGCTGCGCACCGCAGCGCCGGCGGTGGGGGCTGCGGCGGCGCGGGCGTGGACGTCGTGAGGAAGAGCGACCCTGCTGCTGAGCCGCGGGCCGCCGGCACGGCCCAGCGCGCTGCCCCCCCCCCCCCCTTTCACCCTCAGCGCAGCATGTGGAGCAGCCTGACGCCGCTGCTGCTGCCCGGCGCCGCCGCCCCGCCCAAGGGTTTTCCTGCAGGCGGGGCGTCCTCCTCCCTGTTCGCTTCTTCCCTCCCCCGGATCCGCTTTCCCTCCCTTCGCGCGCCGCCATGGCGCCGGGTGGCTGCCCGCAGCCGTTACGCTGGAGCCCCAGTTTTGGTCTTGCCGCCCGCTGCCTTCTCCCGCCCAGCATTTTGCTGGACACGCCGCTCCCCGGCGAGTCTCGCCGCCCATCCGCGCCCCCACCTGGGGAACGCACTGCCACCGCCTGGTGATCCAGGCCCCTGACTGTATCGTATACACTTGACCCGCTGGACTCGAAAGCTGGGCGATGGCTGCTGAAACCGTGGCTGCTAAAACGGCCCTCCCGGAAGGAAAAAACAACTTACCGGAATGGGGCGCGGCACGCGAAACAGTCAACGGGCTTCTTCCTGGAAGGACGAAGACTTCCCGGAGGTCGATTTTAGCAGCCACGGAATTAGCAGCCCTTGACCGGCTTCCGATGGACTCGTTCTGGCACTTGCACTGCAACCCGCCGCCGCTGGAACCGCGGCGCAGCAGCCGCCGCAGTTCCCGCCGGCGGGGCCGGCCCGCGCCAACCACGCCGGGCGTGACCCGTCCCCCGGAGCGGCGCGGCCCCCGCCCCGTTCTTCCCGCACTCTGCCGCACCCCTCCTTTCCCCTCTGTCTTGCATGTTGGCACAATTCGCTACAACGGTGCCCCCGCTTAGTGAGGTCTTCCGCCAGCGCAGATACTCTGCCTAGTCTCCGACACACTGTGTGTTTGTGCGTGTGTGTGTGTTTGTGTGTGTGTGTTTTGTGTGTGTGTGTGCGTGTGTTGATGTGTCTGTTGTTCTGTCCGAGGAGTTGTTCTAGTGTATGTTGTTGTTTTTGTTGTTGTTGTTCTCTGTGTGTGTGTCTGTGTTATGTGTTTGTTTTGTGTGTGTGTGTGTGCGTGTGCGTGTGTGTGGGGGGTCTGCGTGTGTGCGCGTCCGCGTGCCCGCGTGCGCGTGCGCATGAGCGTGCGCGTGTGCGTGTGCCTGTGCGCGTGAGTGTGCGTGTGCGTGTGCGTGTGCGTGTGCGTGCGCGCGTGCGTGCGCGTGTGCATGCGCTTGCGCGTGCGCGTGCTCGTGTGCGTGTGCGTGTGCGTGTGCGCGTGCGCGTGCGCGTGCGTGCGTGCGCGCGTGCGTGCGCGCGTGCGCGTGCGCGTGCGCGTGTGCGTGCGCGTGCGCGTGCGCGTGCGCGTGCGC